GGATGTGTGTGTGTGTTGGGAAGCAGGGGGTGGTGTGTGTGTGTGTGTGTGTGTGTTGAGGGTGTGTGTGTGTGTGTGTGTGTGTGTTAAGGGACTTTAGAAATCAGCCACACACACACCGCAGCTCCATATGACACGGTGCTGCTGCCAGGCGGATTTCCAAACACCACCTCCTTTTTTTTTTCCTTCTTCTTCTTCTAAACTTTGTTCCATGAAGCTGCTTTGAAACACTTAGTTTGAAATTTCATACTTTAACTGGAAGAACATTTGAACTTTTTAAATGCTCGCAGGAACTCATTCAAGTGAGTAAAAAAAAGAAAAAGAAAAAAAAAGGAAGAAGGACGGTGCCTGGTGCCATTCAACCGACTGATGCCCCCCTCTCTGTCTGACTCGTGAATCATGTCACGCCGGAAACAGAAGAGACCCCAGCAACTAGTCAATGCAGATCCGGGGGGCCCAAAGCTGCCATCGCATGGTGAGAAAACACCTTTTTAAAGCATCCTTTTAATCATCCCATTTAACTTTGTTTACAGTTCTCATTTTTTGAAAAAACATACGTTTTAAAAAGTAGATTTAAACTTGTGATCATATCTTAAAAAGAGATTTTTAACAAGTTGTTGAACTTAAATTAAACCCATCTCATCCTTTTTACTCCACTAAATGAGGCGCTTTTGATTCCATTCAACTTTTTTCCCTCCCTGTGTGCTGAATCTATACATCTGAGGCCATTTTCATGAGCTGCCCATCCTTTTAGGAAACCAACAGGCTGCTTTAGTGCTGACTGCTGGAGGTCTTTGATGATGACTCTAATTGTGAACAATAAGGTGCATTGGTTARGTTGGGAGGGGAGGCAGTGGGTTTTTGGTAAAGATTAATCTTCCAACCCCCAATCTATTGTCCACTTTTTTGCAGTTCATCCATACTTCTCTTCCTTATGTGCCCCTCTTTCCCCCCCATTTTTCACCTTCACAATACCCCCTCCCTCTCTTTCTTTCCTTCTCCATTGACTGTATACTCCTGCACAGTTGGGGGGAGTTCAAATGGATGAGGAAGAAAAAAAACTTTCTCACTTCTCTAACAGGTTTTAATGAGGATATGAGAGTCTGCAGGTTAAATCACATATATATAAGTGGAATATTTTGGAGCGAGTTGTGTGTTTCTCACAGGTTTTTGAGAAGGAATTTCACCAAGGTACAGTCTTTCATTCCATCACTATACCTCTCCAGGAGGGGACTAGTTAGTTTGTGTCTCCATTGTTGTTACCCTCCCCCTTCCCTTTTCTTTTTCTTTTCTTTTTTACTCTTTCTCACTCTGTGCTCAAGATTTTGAAAGAATTTGACCTGTGGGCGGCAGAGGTCAGAGTAGTTGACCAATCAGAGCGTGTGGACAGTACCCAGGAACCCTTGGCGTGGCCTGACCCCTGACCTCTTCTGTGACGTAAGGGGGGGAAGGGTGAACGAGGAGATGAAAGACGTTACTGGTTTTAGAAGGGGGTGGGTTAAGAGGGGTTACGGGTTGTCCTGTTGATGTYCATTGTCCTCTAAAATGTGTTGCCATAGAAGCAAGGTGGTCTGTAAGCTTTTTTTTTTTTTTTGTGAGTACAAGATGTTTGAAGAGTTTTGCTCCAGAGAGCACAGATTGAGACAAGACATGACAAAGGCTAGTGCACTAGCAGTTTCTTCCACTTGTTTATTTGCTTGTTGGAGGTCATTTCCAGGCAGGCATTTTTGTTTGAAGCTGTAACTTTATCTTTTGGTATGCGCACGAGTTTGCAGGCTAAAATTCGTAAACAATAACTGGAGTCAATAAAACACCGCTTTGTCGCTGAGGCGGAAGGTTTTCATGCCTGGATTTGTTTTGTCTGTAAATAAACACATTGGTTTCAGGTTTTATAACGCATGCTTCTCTTTTTCTTTCCTGTCTATCCTCAGATGACCACCTGAGCTTAAAGTCGCCATCCACGTCCCTGGGTTCTGATGTGACCTCGTCGGGGTCCGCTTCCTCGTCGCCCACGCCTCTGCAGGACTGCCAGCCGCCTCTGGCCCCTCGCCCGTCTCCTGGAGGGCTCCACGCGCCCTCTTTGCCCAGCGAGAGCTCGCCTCCGCCCCACTGGCCGAGCCACATCGCCCCCTTCACCACATCCCTCCCCAACACCCACTCCTCCCTCTCCCCGGACTTCCCCCACCCGTCGCTGTCCTCCCAGACTCATTCGCCTCCTCCGTTGGACCCAACCTCTGGGACCGGCAGCCTGCCCCATCAGGGCAGCTCCCACTCCACGATGACCTCTCCGCCAATGGGCAGCTCTGCCACCACCACTACCTCCTCCTCTTCTTCCTCCTCTCAGCATCCTCAACCGGACAGCTCCAGTCCTGGCCAGCAGCAGGCCTCCACCTCATCGGGGGAGCAGGGGCAGATCCAGGTCCCGCCAACCCTGGCGGTGCTCCTGGAAGAGCTGAGGGTCCTGCAGCAGCGGCAGATCCACCAGATGCAGATCACAGAGGAGATCTGTAGGCATGTCCTCCGGCTCGGCGGGGCTGTCTTTGGCCARGACGCTGCCGCTGCACAGGCCGGTGGTACAGACGGCAATCAGAAGTCCACAGGAGCGTCCTCTTCATCGCCAACCCACCCTTCCTCTGCCACTCCGGTAACCACAGCTTCATCACTTCTGACGGGACTGCCGTCTTCCCTCTTCCCCCAACCAGCCGCCTCTAAATCAGGCACTTCGCTTATTAGCGGGGGCAGAGCTACATCCTCCTCAACCTCTAGCCCACTGTTATCCTCCTCTTCCTCGGCTATTTCATCCACCATCAGCTCATCTGTTGCTTCTCTTCACCCTCTCTCCCTGTCGCTGGGCCTGTCGCCGCGCTACCTGCATGAGAAATCCTCCAACACGTCTTCGTTTGGTCACAGCAATGGCATCAGTTTCCCAACTCCCCCGCTTCCCACGACCAGCCATCCTCAGGACCTTCAGTCCGGTTCGCCCCTCGCGTCGGCTGCCTCGTCGGGACGCCCTCAGCACGTCTGCCGATTCTGTGGGAAGGTCCTGAGCAGCGACTCCTCGCTCCAGATCCACCTGAGATCGCACACGGGTGAGAGGCCCTACCAGTGTCCCGTGTGCTTGAGCCGCTTCACCACCAGAGGGAACCTCAAAGCCCACTTCCTGCGACACCGGGAGCAGAACCCAGAGCTGTCCCTGTCCCTGCTGCCCCCGGCGCTGTCAGAGCAAGCGCAGAGCGGATCGGCATCAGGGACCATCCAGAGGAGGAGGAAACGAAGAGCCGATGAGGACGAGGCATACCACGGCGTAAAGGGAAGTGTTCCCGGAATGACAGAGAGCATGGCTTTAGGGTTACTGACCGGTGCATCGACTCGACCCTCACCTTCCTCCCTACCACTGCCCCCCTCAGTGGACATGGCACTGTTGTCTACAGCCCATTCACTGTTACAATTAAACAGAGCCTCTGCTGCAGCGGCTGCTAGCACGTCCAGCTCTGCACTGCCTTCTTCGTCTCCATCCTCCTCCTCTGGTCAGTTTAAAGGAGCAAAGCAGCAGCGGTTTGATGAAAACACTCCTCCTCACTCTGCTCTCCATGCGACCTCRCCGTACTCCCAGCTGGCCCACCTGCCCAAGATTCTCTTTCCTGGAGGCGCCTCCCCGCACCACCTCGCGCTTCTCCGACCGCCAGGCCACCCATCTGCTTCCCACCTCACGCTGCCTCATCAGCTACCCTTCCCCTTCCCGCCTTTCCCTAAACCATCCACCTCCTCCTCTTCTTCCACCACCTCTGCACAAACCTCAGACACCTCCAAGCTACAGCGGCTGGTGCAGAAGCTAGAAAAGCAGCCACAGGGCGGCRCCTCCTCTGCCTCTTCACCTTCCACCTCATCGCAAACCAACGCGGAGGTCAACGGGGATCCAAATGCCCGTGACATGACCACCACCTCCAGTGCCTATCGTAGGGAAATGTTGGCWGCTCTGGGACTGAGCCCCAGTGTCAGTGCTGCAGTGACCGGCCAGGGTGTCTCAGGTTCAACAACAACCAGCTCTTCCTCGTTCATRCCCACTACTCAAACAGCTAATCAGTGTGGAGTGTGTCTGCGTGTCCTCAGCTGCCCCAGAGCTCTCCGTCTGCACCAGGCAACACATTTAGGAGAGCGTCCATTCCCTTGTAAGCTCTGTGGGCGTTCCTTCTCCACGAAGGGGAGTCTCCGGGCCCACTTGGCCACGCATCGCTCGAGACCACCCAATGCCCGTGCCCTGAACTCTTGCCCTCTCTGCCCACGGAAGTTCACCAACGCGCTGGTTCTTCAGCACCACATCCGCTTGCACCTTGGAGGGCAGATACCGCCGGATGAGGAGGTGCCACCCGAAGGCACCGCAGAAAGCGAAAGCGCTGCCTTTGACGAAGCCGCCAACGAATCCTTCAACTCTCAGTATAAACCGCCACAGGTCCTTCCTCTGGCCCTGACAACAGGGTTCAAACCACCAGCAGAGACCGTCATCTCAGGGTCCACATTTAAGCAACTCAAAGCCAACGATGCAGATGTGAAAGCGGAGGAATCTGAAGGCTCAGCTCAAAGCGTTAGTCCACCCCTCAGCTGTAATCCCCCCTCGGCGGAAGCGGAGAACCTCTTGCGTCTTCGAGACAACACTCCAGCCGACGAAAGCTCCATGCACTCCGAGGAGGATGCTCACACTGAGCTGGGCAGCGTCAGCTTGTTCAAAGCACCCACAGCCAGCTCTTATTCTGTTGTAAAGAATGTAGATTCTGAAGCTGAGGAAGCCCCTCTTTCTCTCTGCGTCTCAAAGCCCGACGCAGATAACAACACCGAGAGCTGTTCCACAAATGAGCCCCAAACCAGTCCCAGTAAACCCCCCCTGGCTGTGAAACCTGTATCTGCACTCACCTCTCCTCCTAGCCCCAGAGCTGCCGACCCAGAGAAGGAGACTTCTGGCAGCGGACCGCAGGAACCGTGGGGACGAGACACTCCCCAGAGCAAAGGGAAGAGCGAGACCACCGCACCTAGAGAGTCTTCAGCTGCGTTGACTCCAGAACCGGAGAAGGATGCTCAGATGAAGGAGAGTCTTAGCCTGCCAGAAAAACCTTCTGAGGACTCTGAGACTTCCGTGGCACCACCTCCACCTCGCCCAGACAAGCCCTACAGCTGCTCCCACTGTGGGAAGGCATACGCCAGCCGAAGTGGACTCAAAGTAAGAGTTCAAAATGCGCTTATTCATGTTTTTGCTTTATTAAAGATTTTAATCTATTGTGTGCTATCAACAGGGGCACATGAAAACTCACCCGGGAGCCATGACCAACACTCCCATCAAGGCTCAAACCAATGAAAGTGACGAAACTCACAGCTCGCAGTCGACAATTAAGAACTCCGGACAGCAGGAGGAAAAGCCGGGGGCGATTCCCGAGAAAGGTGACGACACAGATCTTCCCCCAATCAGTGTTGACTCTGACGTGACGCCTGAAACTACCGACACTGCATAGAGTCAGTTTTTAATAGATCCTGACAAGGGAATGTACTTTTTTAATGAGATGAGTTTTTTGTTTGTTTGTTTGTTTGTTTGTAGAGTCTTTAATTCTAATTGATATTTAGCTTTTGTACAAGGCAGATAGAGTATTTTGTAGTACTGTTAAGGAAAATTTGTGAATGTAGTATTTCTGCTGTCTATTTTTGTATTTCAAAGACCAGAGTGAGGCCTTATCTACCACTTCACAGCGTTGTCATAAGATTGAACTCTTTGCGCTTTTATGCTGATGTTTCCAGCACATCATGTATATTGTTGAGCAACTAGTATAAGCTGATTTTTATTTTTTTTAAAGGAGTGTTTAGTGTTTCCATACCAAAACTGGCCATGTTATTAATGGCTAACGACTGTACGTATGTGCTGCGGTTGCATTTGCTGCCTTTTTATTGGCAATAGTGTCATTCCTTTTTATTGTTTTAATTTTCATTGCGATGCTGCTGAACGCGTTTGCTGACGTGCTGAGTCGAGTTGCACTGCTGCTGCCCCAACATCTACCGAACAGAACCACCTCTTATCTGTAGTGATCAGAATTACAATCGTTTTTTAAAAAATAAGAAAAACTAAAGTCGTGCTCTTTCGATTCTTTTCTGTTTTGAGAAAAAATAAAAATGATGTGATCTTTAACAAGTTCTGAACTATTCTAACATAAGAGTGTACAAAAACACACAACAGACCGCATGAAGCTAAAATGGAAAAGCTTTAGATCCTCATATTACACCATGATTCCTGTTTTTTYTTTCTTTCTTTTTTTCTCAGCCATTCTGTTGCACAGKGTGAATCAAAAGTCACAGGACACCCTTGTATTGTGCTCCAAGATGGAAACCATGTTCCAGACATAGCCTAAAACAGTGATTCTCAAAGTTTTCAGCTTTTTGCCCCCAGTTGTTGTCGGTTGATAAACGTTGTTTTCACGTCAAATAAACAAGAGCACAGTGACATTATTTATTACATTATTTTTGTCCATTTTAAGTACACTAACCTTATTATTTTGTAGTGGGTCACGACCCCAACGTTGGGAACCACTGACCTAAAACACAGGCCTCCTCACCAGTTACTTGTTGGGTTATTCAGATAGTTCATTTTCCCTTTTCTTTTTGAAATAAGAGTGTCCTGAAACATGTGACTCACATGGTGTCCTGAGACTTTTGACTCACCCTGTAGCTTTGCGGCTGTGTTTRGGATCTTTGTCTTGTTTATGACCTGGTTTAGTCCAGATTTGAACTCTCAGTCTCTAAAAAAACTTTGGTCCACAGCGGACTTTATGGCCAACTGTGGCTGTAAAACAAACCCAAACCATCATCCCTCCACCTCCATGCTTGGCAGCTGCAGGAGGCCTTGTCTAGTTTTAGTTGCATTATGGATCGACCTCTCTACTTTATGCTCATTATAAGATATTGTTAAGTCTTATGGTTACCTTTTTAGCAATGATCAGTATTTGATCAGCAGCACCTTGCTGATAAATTTCATCCTAAATATCGGGTTTTGTTTTTGTTCAGTACATAACGACACGGTGGAATCTGTTGTGTGTTCTTCTGCAGCTGAGGGTTAATGAGCATCACTTGGTAATAGAGATGATTGAATGTCCTGATCGTCCGGCAGACTTTCTTTTTGTTACGACTATACTTCCGTGAGCCATCCTGTGCTCGCAGCTGTAAAAAACCCTTCCTACCAAAATGTAAACGTTTTAAATTTGTATCGATGATGCTGACGGTGCGGTGATTAGCGCTGTCACCTTCACAGCTGGGTTAAACAGGTGTGAGGGGTTGTCTGTCTCTGTGTCCCTGTGATGGACCTGTGACCTGTCCCCCGACTGCTGCAGACAAATATCACTTCTCTCTCAATCCAGGCAGTAAGCAAAAAGCTTGTAAAAGAAAGTGGATGGGTGGATTCTGAAGGTGCCCCCTTCCCCTCTTTCCCCTTCCAGCACTTGAGTGGTCTGCTCCTCCACCAGTCGTACGCACTCACTGGATTCCTGCTCAGTTTTTTTACCATTTGTCTGCTTTTGCCTTCTCTTTGTAACTCCCACCCCCCACCCACTACCCTCCTTTTTTTTTGTAGCGATGACAGAATGTGTTCCCACGCTTCCCATGTGATGTTAAAAAAAGAGAAAAAGAAATAAAACAATGTGAAGAGGAGACTGGTTTGTTTCTTAAAGCTCCATGACTGTGAATTCATTTATCTGTTTAAGCATTCTGCTTGCATGGCTTCTGCTGGTTAGTTTTCTCTTGTTCGTTCCTCTCTGCTCGTCTGGATGGGGATGGTGTGTGTGTCTCTGTGTGTGTGTGTGGGGTGGGGGGGGTCTTTTGTCTGAGGAGCTGGGCTGGCTGTCTCTAACTCTGTCCTTTAAGCCCCTCAGTGTCTTTTAATATGTTTCAGTTCAACACCAGTGTGTGTGTGTGTGTGTGTGTGTGTGTGTGTG